CCCCAGTACCTCCTCTATAAATAAATAAATGAATATATGTATAAGACATTTTTTAAAAAATTAAATAAAACAAAAAAACCCCAGATGACTGGATAAAGAAGATGTGGTGTGTGTATGTATATATGTATCTTCTTTAGTAGTGTATATATATAGTAGTGTTTATATATACACACACACACACAATGGGCTAGTATATATACACTACTAAACACTACTAGTTTATATGTATATCATATACACACACCATGGACTGCTACTCAGCTATAAAATAGAATGAAATTCTGCCATTTGCAGCAACACGGATAGACTTGAAGGGTATTATGCTAAGCGAAATAAGTCAGACAGAAAAAGACAAATACTGTATGAGATCACTTACACATGGAATCCAAAAATTACAACAAGCTAGTGAATATAGCAAAAAAGAAGCAGACTCACAGATACAGAGAACAAACTAGTGGTTACCAGTGGGGGGAGGGAAGTGGGGAGGGACGATATACGGGTAGGGAGTTAAGAGGTACAAACTGTTAGGTATAAAATAGGCTACAAGGATGTATTATACAACTTGGGGAATATAGCGCACATTTTATAATAACTATGAGTGGAGTATAACGTTTAAAAATTGTGAATCACTATATTTTACACCTGCACCTTATATAATATTGTGCATCAACTATACTTCAATTTAAAAAAAGAGATCAAAAGTACATTTTTTAAAAACCTGAGGCTCAGTTCTGTAAGTTTTGTAAGTGCCCTCCAAGCAGAAGTGACTACAAGGTTTTGAATACCTCTCTAGGTTTCTGACTTCATTTAGATATTGGTCTATCATTTCTTTAAAAAAACTTTTTATTGAAGTACAGTCAATGTGTCTATTTCTGGTGTGCAGCACAATGTCCCAGTCATGCATATACATACATATACTTGTTTTCGTATTCTTTTTCATTAAAGGTTATTACAAGATATTGAACATAGTTTCCTGTGGTATACAGAAGAAATCTTTTTAATCTGTTTCTATATATAGTGACTAACATTTGTAAATCTCAAACTCCCAGATTTATCCCTTCCCACCCTCTTTCCCC